GCTGTATAATTGCAAGTCTTATTTTGTTAATATCCATAACTGTATCTGGTGAGAAAGAAGACTTCCTGAAAAATAGGGAATGTCCTTAATTATAAACACAATAAATTAAATGTGAAGTTAGAGTAACTTGTGGGAACAAGTGACTGAGTTCATGAGGATTGGCTGTTAGATTTGGCCCTTAAAAATAATCTCTTTAGATCATTTAGCTGTGCAATTAAACTCTGCATTATAATAAATTTGCATTTAAAATTTTTGTTTAGCATTATCATATTTATTTCAGATCAGTTTTATTGTAAGAGTTGTATCTGGAAAGAAAATGGAGGACCCTTCTTGTAATTGCACACTGTTAATATACAAACTGTGCTCACTTTGATAAGACTTTATAATTTTACCCTGAGAGTTAAAATGGGAACCTGGGATTATTATTTTTTTTATTTTGTTTAACACTGTTACTTCATAACAGTGATTTATATGACTCTTAAATCCTTTGTTAGGAGTTCAGCCCTCAATTCTTACAGCATTTCTAAACAATATGGTGGATGTCTTAGTCAACTAGGGCTGCCATAACAGAGCACCACTGACAGGGTGGCTTAAACAACAGATATTTTCTCATAGTTCCATAGGTTCAAAATCCAAGATCAAGGTGCCAGCAAACTCATTTTTTGGTGAAGGTGCTCTTTTACAGATAGCATCTTCCTTGTGTCCATATGGCCTTTCCTCTGTGTATGTGTGAAGAGAGCTCAATCCTTTGGCTTTTCCTATGAGGCACTCATCTTTTGGATTGGGGTCCCACCCTATGACCTCATCTAATTCTACTTACATCTTAAGGGCCCTACCTCCAAAGACAGTCACATTGGGGTTAGGGCTTCTACCTAAGAATTAGTGGGAACAATTTGTAATAGTGGTTTTTCTAGAAATGCAGCAGTAAAATGTCAAAATTAATTATAAGCTGCTTTAGTGTTCATTATACTGTCTCTCATTCATAACCACACATTTTGTTAAGAATATTAGTCAGATTTATAATGTCATTAGTTTAGCTCCTGCTTATGATTGTGAGAGTCTGCATGAAGTAGAGCTCTCTTGTTAAATCTGCCTGCACTTCTGTGAAGTGTGATGTCATTATCATATGCTTTAGAGATAAGGCCTTGTCACAGTCAGAGATGTTTAAAACTGCAATCTAGAGAACTGCTTTTCAAAAGCTGAGGAAAGATGTTCTTGTTCACAGAGGACATGGTGTAAAACATATGGTCATGCCAATGGCTGCGAGGTTTTAAAATCTATGATGTATAGGAAAAATATTTTTTTAGACATGCCTCTGGAATTATTAAAATAATACAGATTCAAACCTAGTCTTTGTGATATTATAGATTATAGATTTCACAAAGACACTTCAGGGAGATACAGATCCATAATGGTTTTGAAATTGAGACCTCCTTGGGAAGCAAAATATTTCTTGGTTATCCAACCTTGAGTCTATGTACCTTTTGCCCTCTAGGAAGTTTAAAAAAAATTTTTTTTCCACATTTGATGTAGGGGTTAGGAAAACCAGAGCTATTCTGCTTCTTTCCTGTATATTGAAAGTTGAGGACCAAGGGAACATTTTAAAACTTCAACTGAGTCCACTTTTGTCTTTGATACCAGAATATTCCCTAGAATTTAGAAGATTTCTTATCCATTTGTTTCCAGTCAATTAGATGTGCTAATAAACATACCCCTAACTTTAATAACAAGATGATTTAATTTAATAACTGTAATATTTTGGGAGGCTTAGGTACTTTAGAGTCTTCTCTTGGCTGTTAGCCTGGGGTTGAGGAGGTTTTGCAGTCTGAGGTATGTCAACAATGCCTGCCCTGTCTTCATRTCAGTGTAAGGGCATTGCAATGTGGTGTCCCCCCACCCAAGTAATAGGTCAGAATTCTAACCTTGATGGGGTTTTGAAGTGGGCCCTTTGGGAAGAATTGTCATGAGGATGGAGCCCTCATACATGAGATTAGTGCCTTTATAAGACCAGATCAAGAACTAGCTTGTACTTTTTCTGGTATGAGGATACATGAGAGTCATCTGCAACCAAACTCTGACCATGTTGATCCTACACTCAGACTTCCAGCCTTCAGAACTGAGATGGTTTTTTAGTCACTCAAGTCTGTGGTGCTTTTTATTGCAGCCTGAATTGACTACAAGTCCAGCATAGTCAGTCCCTTTCTTATATCCACGGATTTGAAACACTTGAGGGGTATTGTCTTCCTGGCATGTAGGCAAAATTCAAAGGAAGTGCCCGCAGGAGCCCCTGTTGCTGGGTCCCACTTTTCATTGGACTTCCCAGTTCCTTCCTTATGTCAGGTTCCACCTTCCTGGAAACCAGAGCCTCTGTAAAGCACAGCCAGCCTGCCATGGTCTTGCGCTCATTGCTACCAAAGATATTTGTCTGGTATTCGTGCATGGCTATTCTTGGTAGACTGAGTTGTACAGATGCGGTCTTCACCCTCTAAGAATATAACAATTTAAGAAACACAGTGACATAAAAATGTTATAGTTGAGGTGACATACAAATAAAAAACATGAAAAAGTTGATTTTGTGGAATGTTCTAAAACGAAGAACACTGAAGAACCACTTAAGTATTGTGCCCACTCTGTGTATCATTGGGCGACTGTTTATCAATAGAAGAAGAGGGACATAGAATTTAGGCATAAAGACTGCTGCTTACGAAGATGCACTGGGGAGCTTCACTGGGAACAGAGAAGGGGGCTCTCAGTTTTTATGCTGTATATACGGAGAAAGTTTAGTCTAAACAAAGAATGTACTTTCAGGAAGAGTTGAGAAACAAGATGTGATGAGTTGAAAAGGAATACTGTAAATGTGTCACCTTGGAAGACTTGGAACTATTCTGATTTTTCTTAGAACCTCAAAATCTATTTTGTCCCAAGATTTAGTGATGGAGCTTTTGTAAAAAGTTGAGTTTTCCATCTGCCTTACATTTATCCAAAAAAGACCATAGCATTCTTGAAATGATGGGGCTTAAAAAAATCTTGGCTCTAGGTCCATCATTCTGACCCAGCCTGGATGTCTCACCTCTCAGTGAGGAAGGAGGAACAGGTGTTATATGGGGGTATTTCTTGAAAAGACAGAGACTCTGAAACTTCTTCACGTCTGTCTTTTACTTTGTACCTTTAAATGAATAAACTGGGAGAGATTATAAAGTTTATTTGAAATAAGTTAACTAGTAGTGCTTTCTAAATTGCATAAAGTATAAACATTTTTAAGTTTTTGATACATTTAAATGTTAATGAGGTAATGTGTTCACCCCTTAAAGTTAGGAATGACACTGTGTGGCTTTCTGCAGAGGAGGAACCTCAGAGCCCTGTTCCCTGGTTCCTATGTATAATTTGGTTATAGGCGCACCAAGCTATGTTGATAAGGCATTCTCTCCCTGGCTGCCTCCTAACCTTGGATCATCCAGGAGAGGTCTGTGAAATTAGACCGTAAAGAAAGCCTAGCTGGAGTATTTAGGGCAGCATATCAATGTCTTATTGAATAGGCGCCTTTTAAGCATTGTTGAATCATTGGAGAGACGGCTGCAGCTCTTCATAAATGTGTTATGTGGTTTTGCAGGAGAAAATATTTGCTAATCTGCAGTAATAATACYATATCATTAAGCTAATAAGCCTACAGAAAAGTTTGTAACAATAGGCGTCTACTAAATTGTTATTATGTGGACATTACCTTTGAGCGTTTAGATGTCTCTCTTTGGCTAAGGAGTCTAATTTTGATGCTTTTATCTGTGATTGAAAATTTCAGTTATACCGTTATTACTGTTGCCCAATTGAATAATTTTTTTCAAGAGTAATCATGGCTGTGCGTAAACCACCGCCTGACAGTCAGCAACATATGTCAGGGACTCGCAATTTGGGGCTGGTGAGCTGTTTGTTGCTGTGATACGGTTCTTCCTGCGCGCCCCAGGCTTTGTTTGTGCCAATTTTCTATCATTTAGTATTTGAATAAAGAACTGTTTCCATTTTGCTCATCGTTGTTTTGAGCATTTTCCTTATTCAGTTCCTATACTTTAAAGTCTGCCAACAATCAGGTGATTTGTGGTCACAACAGAAGGTGACACAAAATATCTTAATGTCTTTACCATTGGTTTCTTTGGGGGACACAATAGACTGGATGCTAAAAATCTGGTCCCAGGTACTGATATCTGCCACTTGCTAGTTGTGAGACATTAAGTAACTTAAACCTCTTGGGGTCTTGGTTTCCTCCTGGGCCAGATAGGGGTGATAATGGTGTGCACATAAGAGGGTTGTAGGGATTAAATGAAATAACATATATAAAATACCTACATTGTCCCATAGGAAGCACTCAAAGGTGTCTTGTGAGAGAAATGTTGAAAAGCATGGAATGTGAATTCAGACACACTTCTTTTGATGAATGGTCTTATGTGGTGGCAATCATGAGAAGAAACTTTTTCGTAAACCTTGTTCCTTCAACTCATGCTTATTCTTTAGCACAGAATAGCAGAGTTCTTTATTTGTGATTTGACACCTGACTTGTTAGTTGTATCTGATGAACAATGACTAAAATATTCTTTTAATAAATGGATGTTATTTTAATAAAAATGCGTAAGGGTTGGGGCAGAAGGGTTATGGTGGAGGAGGTGGGTGTGTCCCTAAGAGAGCAGTATCAGGGACCCTTTGATGGAACTGTTTGGTATCTTGGCTGTGGAGGTGAAGAGTTGCCCCTGTGCTTGAAATGACGCTGTGTAGAACAAGGTACGCACAGAGCTACAATCAAACTGGGGAAATCTCAAAAGACTTGTGAATTGTGTTTACATCACTGTGCTGGTTATGATATTGTACTAGTTTTGTGAAATGTTGCTGCTGGGAAAAATGGTAAAGGCTGTCTTAAAACTGCATATGAATCTACAACAATCTCGAAATTACAATTAACAAGCGCATGTGCAGCTCTTATATAAAGTTAACGAATGCTTTTTGTTTATTTTCAGATTGCTTCTGCCTGATTCATACGCAGTGCCATTGGCTTTTGTAAGTTGACATTTCAATTTTTTTTTTTAATCCTTCTTCCCAAAACTTTGTCTTCTCTAATCACACAACAACACATTTCTAGAGGTCCTGGAACAAGATATGGGGCAAAAAAATTTAAATTAGGTTCTTATGTTATTATTTTAAGGTTTATTTTACCTTTTTTAGATGGCTAGTAGGTAACAGATGCGTTGGGGAAGTTTGACCTATCCATTGTGGGCTAGGAGTATCTGTTTCTTGGAGGGACGTCCCTCCAGGGTCATGGTAGGTGGGAACAAAGGGCTGCCTGAGCAGCTAGGGTTGTATGTATGTCCAAAGTTTCTATCCTAAATCATCTTTGTGACATCTTTGATTTTTTGATGAAGAATTGAAATATGCTAAACCAATTTTAATGACATATGGTTTGTTTTTCATCTTAGCAAGAGGTGAGTACCATTATAAAGTAACATAATGAGGACTTGCATTATGGTAATTCCTAAATCAATATTTTGTACATTGTTCTAGCATGTTCTATTGCACCTATTTTGAGGCCACCAGAAAGACATATACCTTTAATACAGTTTTCCTCAGAGTAGCTGCCTCGACATGGTCATTTCCTGGGGTATTAATTGGTATATGGAAAAAGACACTGTGATCATATAAGTTGGGGAAAAACTGAGATAAAATTAAATTAGGCTAGTTTATTTCCAGCAACTGATTTCCTGAAAAGGGCTTTGATTTGTGGTATTTCTCAAACATGTGTCACTGTGCAACCTCTGAGTYACCAGTTATAGCCAGGTGACCACTTCTTCCCCCGCACTTTGGTTACCTCACTGGTAAAAGCCTTCATCATCTGCTTTATTGCCATTGATCCTACCTGGTCTCCATGCTTTTACACTTTCTCCTCTATGACACATTCTCTAAACAGCAGCCAGATAAATTATTTAACTGTAAGTCTGAGGTTACTTTTCTACTCCAATGTCTCTAGTACCTCCGTATGTCACTTAAAGAGGCCGGTCAGCTCTTACCATGATAAGGGGCCCTGTTACCTTGGGCCTAATTTTCTTTCTGGCCTAATCTTTTACAGATCCCCTTCCCTGACTACTTCAGCTATACCAATTCTCTTATTCTTGCATCAGGTTTTACATTTACTGTTCCCCCAAAATAGCCACGTGACTGGCTTCCTTCCTTCAGATGTTCCCTAAATTTTTAGATGATCCCTAAGTTGTCATCTTTTTACTGAGACTTCCCTGACCAACCTATTTCAAGTCGACACCCTCGACTTATCCTCCAAGCCTTTCCTGTGCCTTCATTACTTCACTTTCCTAATCACCATCTGACAGTGCCAGGGGAAAGGTTGCTCAGTGGATACTGTTTGAATGAATGACCATTTCAACTGATTTTATTGAAAYGTTATCTTTGACCCCCAAAATTGAGATAGTTTAAACTGTCTGAAAATAAAAACAGTTTTTGAAAATATGTAGGATGCAACTAAAGCAGTGCTTACAGGAAAATTGATAGTATTGAATGAATAGAATAGAAGAAAGCTCTAAAACCAATAAGGTCGGTTTTGACTTTGGGAAATTTTTTAAAAAAAGAAAAATCTAAAACAAGCAGAAGAAAATAAATAATAAAAATTAGAGAAGTTAACAGAGTTGAAGTCAGGAAAAGAGTGGGGAAAAAATCAGTAAAAGGAAAGGCTTTGAAAAGATCAATAAAATGATCAAGTTTTAACCAAATGAAAAGAATACACAAATTATTAGAAATTGAAGGGGGGTTATGTTACTGATGCCATGCGTATTTTAGGACTGATAAACGAATATGATAAACAACCCCAAGCCCCTAAATTTCATAAGTCAGATAAACTAGACCAATTCTTTGAAATACAAGCAACCAAAACTCACTCAAGGAGGAGTAGGTAACCTGAATAGCTTTATATCTATTAAAGAAATTCAGATAATAGTAAAACAGTCTGCATGGAAGAAACCAGCAGACCCAGATGGTTGTACTTATGAATTATAAACAGTAACCCATAGGACAAAAAAAGAATCAACTAGCATTGAGATGAACTATCAAATACATACATACATACATACACATTTATACACACACACACACACACATAAATATACATATACATACCCGTGCGAGAGGCAAGGGATAAATGGAAAAATCTCTACCTTCAACCTGATTTTCCTATGACTCTAAAACTCCTCTGAAAGCTAGCCAATTAAAAAATCAAAGGGGAAATTAATATTATGAACTAAATGAAAAATTTCTAAATAACTAAAGCAGTACTTAGAGGGAAATTTAGGTATATAGACCTAAATTAGAAAAGAATGATCTCAATGACTCAATGTAAGGGTTTGTCACATGTGTCTTCAGGTATATGTCTTGCATGAGAAACCATGTTTGTTTCGTGTTGTCAGAGAAGGCAGAATTAGGGATGGTTACCAAAAGACAAATCTCAGTTCTTTATAGGAAAGAAAAGATCATCAAGCTTCCCCAACTACAGGCTAACTTCCTTTAGTGAGACATATTCCCTTGTACATTCTAAAAAATTCTTTGCAACTACTTCTGAAATAAATGACAGTAAGGAAAAATATATTTCTTAGAATTAACAGTCTGTAATTAACATGCATATTTAAGATACGATATTGTTAAGTAGCTAGTGTAATGCAAGAATGAGCAGTAACTTTTAAAAATCACAGAACTAGTTTGGGGATATAGCTCAGTGATAGGGTGCTTGCCTAGCATGAATAGGGCCCTGGGTTTGAACCCTAGCATTACAAAAAAAAAATAATAATAATCCCAAACCTATAGAATTAGAAGGCACTTAAGTGACTTAAATGGTGTTTATTCAGACAACAGAGGCCTCAGCTCTCTGCCTCTTTAGTGGGAATGCCTTAGATGTATTTACAAAAGGGGAGAAAGGATCCATTTAAGTTTGCAAATGAACAAAAGCAGTGATGAAGAACTAAATCCCTGAATGATATATTCAGAATTCACAGAAAAATTTTAAGCTCAAGGATAATCAGGAATATACCAGAAGGACATCCGTATTAGCTAAACGGTTCAATAAATGTCACCTCCTCTCCAAAGACTTTTCTGATTCTCTCAGACTCTCTGTCTCTGCCTGTGTTCCCATAGCAATCTGTACACCCTATACTATAACATCTACATGCCACTGTCCCCTGATAGGGCGTTATAAAAAAATGAGACGTGGAGTGAAAAATGAGACTTGCTGTTGGCCACAGCAGTCTTTTCTTGTGCTGGAAAGTTTATCTGTTGTTTTAGTGATGAGAGGCTCAATCGCAAGAAGATATGTGTAAAGCACCATCCACATACAACAAATACTATTCCCCTCCCCACATCATGTAGTAAGTCTGTGAATTTCTTACTGTTATCAATGCATTTCTACTTGAAATGATAAAATGGCAAAAAGTAAAGCTGAATTGTACAGAAACCACACTGCTGTTTTATAGCAAAGATTTGCCTTAAGTAAATTTTAAAAAGGATACTTCAATTAGTGTTTCTATTTTGTAGTTTCTCTTTATAACAGTTTGATTTGGGCTCATTAGATGGTCCCTATTAAATCCTAGACTTGAGTGCTAAACTTTTAAGGTGAGAGGGCATCATGCAATCTAGGTGCTGAGAGTTAAATTTTATGTCTTTCTGAAAAGGAAGAATATTTTCTCAAATTTTACATGGATTTGATTTTCAACATTGATGATAGTCACCATATGCTAACATGGTATAGGTGCTTTATACAGTTATCTAATATGGTCCTCTGTGAGCCCAGTGAGAGAAGGGGGTATTAGTCCTCTTTTATAGATGGAAAACTGGTCCACTGAAAATATTGTTAATTGCTTTATTTCTAAAATTAGTAAATGGTGACAGTTTTGGTCCTGGAGATTAAATCCAGGGGTGCTTGACCATTGAGCTACATTCTCAGTCCTTTTTATTTTATTGTGAGGCAGGGTCTCACTGAGTTGCTTAGGGCCTCACTAAGCTGAGGCTGTTGTTAGAAATTGCAATCCTCCTACCTCAGCCTCCTAAATTGCTAGGTTACGGGTATCGCTAGGCCCTCAGCCTGTGACAGTACTATTTAAATGTCAATCCTGACTCCAGAGTTCCATGTTCTTGAACACTACCTCGCTGAATAAGAGTGGCATGAAACATTAGACTTAAAATTGACTAGATTACTTAAAGGAGTTATGGCAAGAAAAGTTTAGTGAATAGTCTATCCACAGTACACAGTAGCCAGGGTAAATGGAAAGGGCATGGGGTTTAAGGACAGAACACTTTGAGTTTTAACTCTGCTGGTTAGTTCTGGGACTTTGGCAAATCCATTTGCCTCTCTTGAGCCTATTTTTTTCTCATTCAAAAATAGATTAATAAAACCATCTACCTCAGCTGGTTGTGGAGAAGATCAAATTGAAAATATTTCTAAGTGCTCTGTAAATGCTTCTGAAAGATATATAAATGAAGCGATGAGTATATTTGGTCATTTGCCACAGACTTTCTTTAAGTGATGAATTTTCTGAGTGCTTTTAGAAAATAATTTGATTTATGGGAACTTAGCGAGTTTCCAGAGAACCTCTTTTGAATCACAGAATGACCTATGATTATATAAAGAGGTTGTCTTTCTTCAATGAGACACACAATGCTTATTTCCCAGTACCTTGTTAAGGGAATTTTTGACAGATATTTGTCTCCATTTTGAAAGATAGGCTGAATGTGTCCCCCAAAGCCCAAAGTGGGTGGATAGCAGAGTTGGCTTTATAATTCCTAATTGGATGTTCAAACCGCCTTTGTCGCAAACTACCTTTCTTGTCCATTTTAGAATTGTGTATTTTCTAAGATCATTTATGTCCCAGCTTGGAAATAAGTGAAAGTTTTCTTTCTCCTTGAGACCTGTTGAGCCTCCTCTACAAAATGGCAGCCAGAGATGGCTAATCAGTGAATTGATACCTTGAAGGTCTCTGATGATCCCTCAGGTCAGTCCTGAGGCTTACAAATAG